ATAGACTCAACTATATCGTGTTTTTCATATTTTATGTGTTGTTAACAAAAACAAAGAGTGCAAATCGAGTTACAGGATAGTTATCAAGATTTATACACTTTTCCAAAATGTTATACATTTAACCAAATTTGAAAATCCAACTTTTATATGTAATATTCCTTAGTGAATAGTTATATTAATTAATAAACTAAAACAATTGCAAATAGCTCGAAAAATTCTATTATTTCTTCCGGAGCAAAACTATATCCGTCATTTTTTTCTCTTGCAAGCATTAAAGTTTCTACTCAAGTGCATAGCCGAGGACTGGGCCACGACGGAGACGAAAACCAAACGAGAAACGATGGTGAAGATCGCTAGGCTCACTAGAATCATCACAATAGGTTGTATAATGATGTGCGAGCTCATAGCTTTCTCCTTCGTGTCTCTACGTCTCGTTTCAATGAAATACACCGACGCAACTATGGTCTATCATGGCTACTTCCCTTACAATATAACCTACAGCCCGAACTACGAATTGACGATGATTGGTCAAGCTTTAGGCGCCATATATGGGGGCACCACGTACGGAGCTGTGGACACTTTCATCGCTCTGTTAGTTCTCCACGCTTGTGGACAACTGTCGAATCTAAAGGACGACTTGAGGAACATTCACTCGTACGATAAGAAAGATCAGCAAGCGAGATTGAAGAAAATCGTCGAGAAGCATAATTATATCGCTTGGTTCGTATTAAACAAATCTGTTAACAGCAACTCAGTTGGTAGTGAGAATTTTCTGAATGGTTTTGAAAGGTGATTAGTTTGAAAGTGTAATAACGACTAAACGATTTGAAGCATTAATTTGAAAGTTCTGAACCTCTTTACGTTTACTCTTCATTTTCATTAGTTTAATCTCTGAATGAATAATTCTAATATATAATGTGGATACAACTAGAAAGATAAAGTCCGATTGTATTAGAAACTTGTGTAAAAAATAGCGATGTAAGAGGCAACTCTATTTGATATTCCATTTAGAATTGTTTATATTTTATTTCAGTGTCGTATTATATCTTCATTGTAGACACCAGGAATATTTGCCATATTTTATATTCGGACGTTGTAGTTTTTTTTATATAGCCTTGTAGTTCTATCCACCAAATGTTCGTCATAACAGTTACACACACATATTTATTGATAACAGTGTATTCTATAGTCTTTCCCAAGTTGTATTAACCGACTAAAAAATGAAACAGATTTTTAAAAATATTTTTCGATATTTTCGATTGATCGTGGTACGTTAACCTGTCGGATCCCGGGATTACATATATAATATATGATTTTTAAATGATCATTCCTTTGGAATATTCGGGATTACCAGATATTCCAAATTATTACCAGATATGAATTTAAAAAATTCTCGGAAGTGATTGTGACGACAAAGATTTATAAAAAAAATAATCTGTTATAATAATTTATCATTAATAGTTCGAAATCTGTGAAATTTTGTTTTATTTTTGATTAGATAGCTTTAACTGGGAAAGATTCGTAAATAAATTTTTTCCAATATTTAATATTAATTGTGTCGTATATATATCCAAGTTTCGTAGAAACAATAGAGAATTGCTTCAATGTGATGCTTCTGACACAAATGATCAGTTGCACCAT